CACACACACACACACACACACACACACACACACACACACACACACACTCCCTTTCACAGACTTGCCAAATAAAATCATCCAGACCTGCAGCCTAGGTAATTCTTATTCTGCAGCCATCCTTGTGTCAGTCAAGCCTTACATATGGGATTTTTCTTTCCAGACAGAGCAACACAGAGACAAAATTTATTGAAAACAGTCTAGTTCTACTCTTAAGCACTTCTTCTAAGGTCATTTTTTTTCTTTTTAAAACTGCCATCATGTAATATACAAATCTTCACTTTAACCAATGGGAAAAAATGTGAGCAAATTTCCTTAAGAAATAAAAGAATCTTTATTGATTTGATTTAGAAGCAATGCTGGGCAAACAGACAGGCAAATATCTGAGAAGAGATATGGTACATCAACTAGCAATTTAAACATTTGAAGAAAAAACATGGAAAGTACTTACATGGACCAGTTTCTTATACAAATGCTAAAGCATGGAAAAACATCCCAAATCAAATAGAGTATTACCATCAAGGCGCAAAACCATTAAAACAAAACAAAACAAAAATACAAAAGATACAAAGACAGTGTGTCTACAGGAAATAATAGTATATATAGCAGTACATAAACTGGCCCATGTAAAATACAAAAATATTTATTGAAGTCAGATCTTTCTATAAAACAGTGCTTTGGAGGTATTTTAATATGAATCCAATATACAATCTAAATGTAAAAACTTTTAGAAACATTAACAGCATTAAGCCAGTGCTACCCACTTGTTCCAATTAGTCTTTTTAAAAAGCTGTTTTGTTGATTCATGACAAATGTCTAATACCTGTGCTCTTAAAAGCATAATCCTTTCTTTTAAGATTAACAAGCTTATGCTAAAACACAGTTTAAATGGAAAAATATTTTAAAAATCAGATTTGTTTCATTTCTAACAAGTGTTTTAAGCTGGCTGTGCAGTTCCCTGTTGTTCTAGGAGATGGTTAGTCAGGAATATGATTCTGAACCAGAAAGGTTTTCAGGCTAAGTGGAAAGCAAGTTAAAGTGACACAATCTCTGTCACTCCTATATAACTCAAAAGACAGTTACAGACATACACATGCTAACATGCAATTGCCTATATATGTATGCATATGTACCATGTATTCAACATTAGCATTTTGGAACCCAGACAGTTCATCATTTTCCAATGAATGAAAGGCATATAATCTGCCCTCCAAAAATAACAAGAACCTTCTACATATGGCTGCAGATCAATATTTTAAGAAATGTTTGCTGGGTCATACCAATATGTATGTGTTGTATGTGTACATGCATGTATGTATGCATATATGTATGAAAGATCTCCTAGAAGCTTCAAGGAATACATGATGTGTTAACTATCAGGCTGAAAGAATTTGCTCTCATATAAGCATTAGGTGATGCACAAAAATGAATAACTGGTGCCATCTGAGTACAAAATTGAATACAGAAGTACCACAATGAACAGTAACAATGTAAGTTTTGGTTATCACAGAACCATTTAAACATGAAGCCAAAATAGTCAATGATGGAGCAGTCAATGCAAACTGGAAATGAAGAATGTGTTAATGGACTAAGGCAAGGCCATGACTTTTGGATTAGGTACAAGCTATTTTATGAGTGTAAGTGCACTTCGTTATCTAGGTTCTGAGACATACTAACATTTCTTCTTGAAGAAAACAGGAAAGAACAAAGCACATTACCACAACTAAGGAAGACTGGAAGGTTCAAGAGAAATCTGCATTCATCTTAGTGCTGCATGTAGAGGCCAATTTCTGGGTACAAAGCACTAATGCCCTCATTTGGCATTGCCTAGCAATTATCTCTAAAGCACCTAAAAACAGATTGAAATGCCCAGTTGGAATTGCCTTGTGTCTTGCAATTTAAAAGATTGAAATATCCAGTTTTTTTTTTAAAAAAAAAGATTAAATAAAAAGATTAACATCTATTCTAAAATTTAAAAAGCTTTTGTGTTTTGTCATTTCAGCCACATTAAATACAAATGTATTCAAAAAGGGTGAGAAAAGAATTTTACTGGCAAGAGCGTGATACTGCTGGGCTCTGCTCAAATCTACTGATATCTCTCTCTTTCATAGGTCAATATGGAGCAATGCCAAAGTAGCTAAGTCAACCTGCAAATAAAAGTCACAAACAATGCAAAAGAAGCAAGTACAAATTCCTGAGATCATGTTGTCCAAAATCAACCTCATGCAGGCAGAGAAAACCTGCTTTTTCCTATACAGTACAATTCCTCATCAAAATTTGTAAGTCAAACACTGCGACACAAATTCCAGCCAGTGAAACAGAACTTGTCCAGGTAATTTTGTACATGCCTTTTGCTATAGAAGTTTTAAACTCCTTGGTCAGGGAAATCAAAATCACACGACTCATTTGTAGTTGACAGTATTTGGGAGTCTTTTGTTTAAGTTTGAAATCTACCATATCACCCAATCTAAGAGCAAGACTGTAACTAAATGTACCTTCAATAGTATTACATACAGGAACTTGTACTTGCTATATTATTTTGTAACAGAGATCACATGTGGATTAGTGTTACAGAGTCTGATATCCAGCATAACTCTTTCTTCTGCCAATTAGGTAAGCAATCACTATAACGATAATCAAGCCTGAAAGACCAGCACCAACTATAATTGGTATTAGAATGGTGTCATCATCCAGCGAACACTCCTGGGCTGTAGGTGAGAAAAAGTGTGTAACAGATAATGAGTATAATCAAAAAAAAAGAATGTCTAAAAGTAAAAGATGTTGACTCAAGTCAGAAATGCTCTTATAAAATAAATTTCAACTAACAAAGGCAGGTATATTTTTAAGATAAAGTATAGAAAGTGATAACTGGTTAAAGCTAAAATCCTAAAGTGTATTTGTCTTTTCATTTGTGAGTACATACAAAATATTCCTACGTGTAAATAATGAAAATCACGTGATACACACACTGTGTTATAGTTCTAAGATGAGAGAATTACTTCATCAGCCCATGTCTACAGAACCAGTTTCACCTCTGAGTGGAAGAGCGGACATCTCTGGGGAGATAAAGAACACCAGGGTAATCACTGAACTGAACAATTGCTGGCTCTGGAGTTCTTTAACAATGAGCGTCAGCAAACTACAGCCCATGGGCCAAACCTGGCTGAAGAGCTAAAAATAACATGAATAATTTTAAATGACTGGAAAAGAGGACAGTCTTTTGTGAAACATGAGAGTTACATGAAATTCAAATTCCAGTTTTACTGGAATGCAGCCACACTCATCTGTATGAATTGCCTGGGGCGGTTTCCAAACTACAATGGCAGAGTTGAAGAGTTGTGACACACACCATATGACCTTAAAGCTCAGGTTAGACTTTTTCTCAAAAAGCTTGTATGTCCCTAGCTTAAAATATGTGATCTGAGTGGGTGGAAGAGTTAAGGAACTAGGACCTCTTACTAATTTGAGTGTGTTTACTACATGTTTTATCAATCTGGCTCAGAATAGCAGGCCAGAGGGACTATTTTTTCTATTTATAGAAAGTAGTCTGATCTAATAAAATCCAATCAACACTCTTCAACCTGACTGCAATTCTATTTCCTCCCTGAATACACTTAAGTATTACCTGGGTGTTATATTTATAGTTACCCACAACCAAGAACCTAGTTCCACAAATAGATCATGCATTCAATATCAGTATTAAATGTTCTATATCTCTCTGGCACCCAAGCTTTCAAATTAGGCAAAGAGCATAGCTCATCTTGGGCCACTGCCAACTAGATAAATAGACCTGAACTGAAAATAATACTGCAGATGACTTTAAATTCTAAACACAAAATGATGTAGTGGAACTAAATGAAGATTAAAAAAATAAATCTATTAGAGGATCAAAATGATTAAAGTAATAAGCAAAAAAAAAACACACAGGAAGAAACTGGATTATTTTGGTTTTTGTGAAGCAGGATCTCATATATCCCAGGCTAGCCTGGAACTGACTATGTATCCAAGGATGACCTTAAACTCCAGATACCTCTGCCTTAACTGCCTGAGTACTATGATTAGAAGCATATGTTACCACTCCTGGCAAAGGAAATGGACTCTTGAAATTTTTTAAGTTGTGATTAACCTTTCTTCCCACAAGAATGGTAGGGTAAAGGGCCTGGTCTCTTTTGGACCCATGCAAGGCCGACTAGGTATTTGGTACCACTGCAAAGGCAGCTGAATAGTTCACAGTATATTCACTTTAATCACAGCTTCTCCATTTACTTATTAACCTCTAGATTAATTGTTTGAAAGGATAGGGATGACTAGAATAGCTCTGTTCAACAAAGCTCTGCTCCACAAACCCCCAATTTTAAGTAATTGGTTTAAAAGCATAAGTCACTTAAGGAATTTGCTGTACATTTTTTATGTCATACATATTTTAATCCGCAATGCCAAATACATCTTTCATATTCACACAAATACAATATAATGAACCCTACATGAGGATTTCATTAAAAACCTGATAAAAGCCATCATTAGTCCAAAGTAGGTCTTCAAAAAGCTTTATTTGAACTAAGACTCTCTAAGTCACTTTGGCTAGCAAGACTAGAATTCATGGGATGTGAGGCTTTGCGACCACCCTTTATCTTGTGTCTTAACCAAACCAAACTGTTTTCATTTGGGTATGTTTCCCAAGAAGATGGTCCAATGAAGGCAGATGTAAGGTACTTAAAGCTGGTGCTCCAAGTGCCAACCCCACCCAAATTCAACCCTAGAGGAGCATCTGTTTCTTAAAAGGGATCTTTAAATACTTCAAATGATTTTCAGAATTTCAAAAATTACATCTACTTTGAACAAAATGATAAGCCAAATGAAGTTACACAATTTGTTTGAGGCTGTGAGAACTTTCTATCAGAATCAAGAGAAGAATTCTTATTTTTTCTATGAATCCCCATGACTCAGAGGAAAGTCCACCTATAGGATGATAGAACACAGTAAATAGTTTGCTTGATTCTTACCTGTAGAATACTTTCCTTCGGTCACATTAAAAGGTTGCACCTTTAGGTTAAAGGTATTTATCTGAAACGTTCTAGACACTGAAACAACCTGCTCTTTGTTGCACATATAAGAACTTCCCAGAGGGGCATCCCAGAAGCTAAGGTTGTTATTTGAAACACTGAAAGCTGCAGAAAAAAAGGCAGGTTAGTTAACTTCTTAGTCTACCAACATAAGAAAAATGAGACAGTCGTTAGGGTTATGTCTCGTGTGTGTGTGTGTGTGTGTGTGTGTGTGTGTGTGTGTGTGTGTGTGTGTAAATGCACCTGGATGTGTATATGCATGCAGTGATAGCCAGATGACATCCTTGAGTGGAGACAGGGATCCACCTGTCTCTGCCTCCCCAGCACAGTGCAGAACACCACACCCACTTTCTTTCACTCTGGTCTTTGTGCGTGTGAGCACTTGAACAAATGAGCTATCTATCTCCCTAGCACTTTCTTGAGGATTTTCAAAATATGGCTCTGACCCCAAAGAAACAACTCTTGCCATCACTAAGTTCACTTAACTTTTTTGTTTTATTTTGTTTGATTTCTGAGACAGGATCTCATTATATAGCTCAAACTGACCTAGGGCTCACTATGCATCCCAGGCTGTCCTCAAACTCATGATCCTCCTGTCTCTGATTCTTAATGCTGCAATTCCAGGAATGCACCACATCCACTCCCTAATCTTTCCATAAATGCTTCTATAGTCTAAAATTCAGTCATTTCCTTAACATTTGCATACTTTGAAAAGATGAGTCTGCAAAGGAGATGATTCTACACTATACGCTATAGTCCTACGTTGGATTTAAGTTGTGATCAAGAAATACTTTTTACATAGCATCTTCTATTTCATAAGACATGATCTGCCTGGGCAGTGGTGGTGCACGCCTTTAATCCCAGCACTCAGGAAGCAGAGGCAAGTGGATCTCTGTGAGTTCGAGGCCAGCCTGGGCTACAAAGTGAGTTCCAGGACAGGCTCCAAACCTGCACAGAGAAACCGTGTCTCGGGGGAAAAAAAAAAAGACATGGTCTGGTCATAAGCTAATTATCATTTCCACTACTTCCATAAAACCTACATTCTTCTCCCCTAGGCCAATGCTGTGCTTACCTGAGCCGTTAGCCAAATACATGCTGACATTCACTTCCTTCAGATAGAATCGGTTTTCACTTTTCTGTTTGAAAAAGAGCTTCCAGTCAATAACATATCACAGCTGTCTAAAAAAAACAGTTAATACCTGCAGGATAGCAATCTAGTACTAATATACAGATGAGGAAACCATAAGACATCAGCCAGCAGTATAAACTACAACTAAGTCTTGTCACTAATTGTAACAAAACCATTTTCCAATACATTTCATTTCTAAACTCTTTGACCATGGTACGGTATTCAGGAATTCTTGGATATAAATTCATCTCTGTTTTATTCTTCTTGTCACTTGCTGAGTCCACACTATCACAATGTAACCTTTTTTGGTTTTTCGAGACAGGGTTTCTCTGTGTAGTCCTGGCTGTCCTGGAACTCACTCTGTAGACCAGGCTGGTCTTGAACTCAGAGATCCACCTGCCTCTGCCTCCTGAATGCTGGGATTAAAGGCGTGTGCCACCATGCCAGGCTCACAATGTGACCTTTTAAATGGGTGCCCTGTTTTCAGATCCTCCAGTTCTGTTCTCTTATTTTCATTACTATTATCTATTTTATTTGCTCACCATATTGATTTTTCAGTACTATTACCTTTGCATTTTATTTTTGTTTTCTAACCTTCATAGTTTGCGGCTGGGACCCAGGGCTTATTGCAAGTAACATGCAAGTGTTATTCAATTGAGGACATCATGAGGCTAATGTTCATCTACTAAAATTTTTACTACACTTATTTAGTGTATGTAAATGCATGAATTCATGCCATGGCATGTGTGGAGGTCAGAGGACAACTCATGGGACTTGGCTCTCTCCCTCCACCATGTTTGTTCTGGGGATGGAACTCAAGCTATCATCAAACTTGGCCCATCTTGCCCATTTTTATTTTTATTACTTATTTGTTTTTGTAAGACAAGGTCTATTATACAACCTCTGGCTGTCCTGGAACTCACTATGGAGGCCAGACTAGCCTCAAACTCACAGATCTGCCTACCTCTGCATCCCAAGTGCTGGGTAGTTTCATTTTTTATTAACATACATTCTACTTTTATTTTGAGACAGTGTCTTGCTATGTAGCTTTGGATAGGCTGGAACTTATTATGTAGACCAAGCTGGCCTCAACTCAACAATCCCCCTACCTCTGCCTCCCAAGTGCTGGATCAAAGGCTTTTACTACCACATCCCACTAAATACATTAATTGTGTGTATTAAGAAAAGGTTTCTCTACATACACAGGAATGTACTGGACCTCACTATATAGACCAGGCTAGCCTAGAACTCACAGAAACTGCCTGCCTCTGCCTCCCAAGTGCTAAGATTAAAGGTGTGCACAACCACACCTAGCACTTAATTATATGTATTAATGGGGCTCAGTGTGGTATTCTGATACATGTATACAGTATACACTAATCAAATAAGGGTACTTGGCATTCCCCTCACCTTCAAACTATTAATGTTAGAAGCTTTGATGTCCTCTCTTCTAGATCTTCATAAAATATAAAATAGGGTACTCTGAATTAATTATCCCATTGTGGAACACTTACTGTATCTTATCCTCAACCTAGCCTCCCCTCTCTATCCATTATCTTTCTGAAGCATTCAACTGATAAACCAGCCATTCTAATAAGTGCTTAGTATACACAAAGTGATATATCTAAGTGTTTCATGGAACTAACAAGTTGAACTAGACTTGTACCTTGCCCTCCTAGTGCTTGTAATCTGCCAAGAAACATAAGATAGATACATAAGAAATTAAATACATAGCTCAGTGGTGGAGGGCTTGCTTAGCATTTATGAGCCCTAGAATGCTGTTCCCACACCAACCCCACCAGCCCTTAGACTAGAAAGAAAAGATACACAAATAAGCTAAATCTGTTAAAAAGAAAGTAGCAAGTTAAGAAAACTGGCAGGAAAGAAATCATTTCCAATGAGGGAAGATGCAAAAGTCATGCTAGCTAAGGAGGGGTCGGGGATTTGGGGTGGGCAGATTTGGTTACAAAACAAGTGGACAAATAACATGTTTGAGAAGGCAATAGCATAAGCAAAGGTAATCTACACACTTGAGAATTAAGTGCCAACCATTGTTCTTTTTGTATGTGAGACAGTGGAAATTGAACCTAGCATTCTACCCACGTTGGGCAAGCATCCTGACACTGAGCTACATGTTCCCAGGCATTTTATTTGCTATTTGAAACAGGGTCTTACTAAGTTGCCCAGACTAGCACTGAACTCATGTAGCGCAGGCTGGCCTTGAATTTGCAATCCTCTTATCTCAGCCTCCCAAGTAGCTGGGAGTATAATACCTATGCCACTAGCCCTGGCTCCAATACCTCTGTACTACTGATGCTTATTGTGCCTGGTTTAAGATGAGTCATTCAAGCAGAGAGTTGCTAAGTGACCTCCCTCACCGCTGCCAATTAGTAATCAGTGAGCTGGAAATTAAAACCCAAAGTCCAGCTACAAATATATGGACTGGTTACTACTGTGCTCAGGCTTCAGAAGCTATGCCTGAAAGTCAGAGTGAAGGAAGCATGCGGTCCAGGAAGTGAAATAAAGGCTACAAGAGCAGAATGCACTGAATGGAGGGAAAGGCTTGAACCGCCCTTCTGCAGAGTTTAGATGTTACCTTGTTGGCAAAATAGAATCAGTGAAGATTTATGGGGAAGAGTTGTGCTTTAGGGAGATGAATCTAAGGGAGATAAGGAAGATGTGAGATTAGGCAGGAGGTTTTTGAACAATCCAGGCAAGCGGTAGCACAGCTGGAAGCAGACCTGAGGCAGAGAGAGGGGAATGAAATGAAGAAGACAGAAATTTCAGTAGCAAGCATAATGGAGGGTTTGATGTCCTCTTACACGTCCTTCCTCTGTTGAGGCAATGCCTCTGCCTGGCATTAAACACATCATATGCATCGTCTTCCCAAAAGATCTTGACCGTGTTCCTTTACCCAGGGACAACCTCTACTCTTCCACTTCTCCTCATCTCTGTATGTACAAATCTGACCTATTCCTGAGTGCCCTCAAATATCACCCCTTCCATTAAACCTTCACCTCCTCTCCAGCCAGGACTAACCTCTTCCCCTCCTCTTTGCTCCCACAGCACTTTGTGCTAACATCTGGCCTGGCACTAGCATGTACATAGGTATACTTGCCTAGCATTTGTGAGGCCCTAAATTCAATCCCAATCAAGACAGAAAGAGAATGAGAGGGAGAACAAGGGAAAAGAAAATATGAATAAAATAAGAATGACTGTCTAGAAAGGCCTTTTCTTGCTGTATTGAAGAGGCTGGTTCTTTTTTGTTTATTTTGTAGTTTTTGCAGTCCTGGAAATGGAACCCCAGAGCTTCACACTTGCTAGGCAAACACTTGACCACTGAAACTCCAGGTATTTGGACATTTTTTAGTAATAATTAGGTGGTCACATGTATACTGTAACAAAGGATTTACTTGAATATCGGGGAGAAGATTTTTGTCAACATTTCTAAAATAAAACTGTTTGATATAGTCATGATTTACTCAATAAACAGTCTATAAGAAAAAGGTTATACTCAAGATAACAAGTTCAAATGTGAAATGACATACTGACATTTTTTGTTGTGTGTTATTTTTTTTTTTTGAGATGATGCCTTTACTACATAGCCCAAGCTAGCCTTGGACTCTTGATCCTCCTGCTTAGCTATAGGTAGATGTATACCATCTTGCCTGTACAACAGATACTGAAACTATATCCCATCCCTACATATAGTAATATGAATTGAAAGCAAAAGTGATTTTTAAACAATTATACAACAGTTCTGCTCAAACTGTTCCCTCACCTATAACTATCTCCTATTCTTCATTCCCATTTGCTACTACTGCACACATACATCCACCAATCACACAAAATCAACACTATTATTTGCTTCTGAAATGGTAGAAATTAAGATCCCTAGTTATTAATGGATGCTAGCAAGAAGTAGAACAGGTATGCCTAATTGCTCACAGTTCAGCTCTTCACATAAGCATGAGCAACAAAAGCCTGAATGCTGGCACTATAAAGGACTGTGATTTAATGAGTCAATGTATGTACTTACATAGAGCCTACATATAACAAGAGAACTGTCCCTCAAATTCTCAGAGGATTAGTACCAGGATCCAGTACAGATACAAAAATCTAGGATGATGCTCAAGTCCTCTTTTCAAAATGGTGCTATTTACTTACAACTTACACATGTCTCCTGTACACTTTCAATCATCCCCAAATTACTTATAATCCCTAAATATAAATGCTATGTAAAAGAAATAGTATATTGTTTACATTTTAATAACAAAAACAAAAGTCTGTGCATTTTCACTATAAATGCAATTTTTTTATGGTTCTGGGACCAAACACAAGGTCTTGAACATTCTAAGCAACAGTGTCTGCCACCAAACTTGAACTCCAGGCCTTTTTACTTAATATTGAATCAAGGTTGGTTTAATCTGTGTATGCAGGACCTAGAGAAACAAACAGCTGACTATGCTCATTAATGCTAGCTATTACTAATACAGACACTATTATAAAGAATCTTAATGAGGACTGGAGAGGTGGCTCAGCAATTGGGAGCACTGGTTGTTCTTTCAGGACTCAGTTCAATTCCCAGCACCCACGTGGCTGCTTGCAGCAGTTTGTGGCTTTACTTCCAGGGGATCTGGCGCCCTCACACAGACATTCATGAAGGCAAAACACTAATGCACATACTAATACATATATCTTTTTAAAAGAGAATCTTAAGCTGGGCAATGATGGCACATGCCTTTAATCCTAGTACTCAGGAGGCAAAGGCAGGTGGATTTCTCTGAGTTCAAGGCCAGCCTGGTTTAAGAGTTCCAGAACAGTCAAGGCTACACAGAGAAACCCTGTCTCAAAAACAAACAAAAAAAGAATCTTAAACTATGAAAGATTTAAAATGTTATGTGTAAGCATGAGAATTTTTTAATAATACTGAAAAACATTATCATAAAAACTAATTAAATATGGAGTAATTATACAGTTAGGGTTTTTTTTTTAATGTGAGTTCATTCTTGCTCCTACATTAGAGTATACATAATGGCAGAATGGCAACTTTCTATGACAAGAGTCTAGCCCACAGACAGTTGAACTAACTCAGAGATGCACAGGGATAAGCAAGCTTTACTTTATAATTAGTGTTATAAATGAAAGCAAAGCCAAATACCCGCACACACATATACCTACCACTGTTTAGACTTTCAAGAGTACTTCTCAGAGAAAGAACTTAACTTTAGAAAACAGCTGGTACTCACCACAGCAAAGATAAAGTCAAGATACTTAATTTGGCTATTGTTCAGCCTAAGTTGAGCAGTTTGAGGAAGACATTTGCCAGTGAAGTCAGTTGTAGCAGGGTTGATGTTAAAAATGAAAGGCACCTTCAGGGGAATGAACAAAGGAAGGTATGGATTAACTAAAAGTCCATAGCAAAGCCTTATACTCTGATAAAACCAACATCGATGTAGAACAAAAACGCCTTTGTTTCAATACTTGAATTCGTGGTGTCTTACTTTCACGAGAACTTGGCACAAGCCCTCAAGCTATGACTCAGTCGACTTCAACAACAATAACAAGAGGGAAGCTTTCTCAGTAATGAGCCAAATAAAAACACATTTTTACAGAGCACAAGAGCCATCTGTCTGGCTTGTTTCAATCACAGGATCCTGAAAATGGGATTTGTTCATTGGCACTCCTCCTGGTGCCCCAATGAGGTACTGCAACCAAACAAATACTTGTGCATATCTCTGGGCTCTGACTCATCAAATGGCCTTGTTCCTGCACACTAACCTACAGTGTGGTTCAAAGAAAAGGGTGAAAGAGCTTTAGTTTGATTTTTAATTTTTGGTGGTGTTGGAATGGTACCCAGGGTCTTATGCATTATCCAAGTGCTCTACCACTTAACTCTATCGCCATTCCCAACTTAACTATGTATGCTGAGCTACTGAAGGCTGATAGAATCTAAACCATAAAGAAGTCTTTTAAATTGGCAGGTTTGCTGCTGGCCAAGATGCCTTAAAGGTGACATTAACTCTTCATGGTTATAGTCATTCCAAACTAACCAAAGCTCAAGTCAACACTAAATCTGCATTTAAACTTGAATCATTCTAGTAAGTTCTTAAGTGCATGGTAGGCTATACATTACTTGAGATGAAAATTTTTTTTAAAGTTTACTGATAAAACAGACGACTTTACCTTCTCCTCAGTGATGTTGAGCTGCAGCCCCATGGTAGCCAGCAGACAGGTAGCATTGCCATTAGTAACATTATAGTTTCCAACCTTTGGAGTTGGAGTGGGTGTTGGAGTTGGAGTGGGTGTCGTAGTAGGAGATGGCACAGTAGTGTGAATAATGGGTGCTACAGTGGTGACGGGTATGTCTTCCTCACACACGTGTTCTAAAACAAAGAAGAAAATAAGCTATGCTGGTCTTGTCTTCTTGCTTTACTAGGCCAGGAGAGAGCAAACTACTTCCCAGAGTTAGGTTTCCACAGTCAACAAGAGTTAATTCGAGCAAATGAAGACCTTGGTGGTAGAGTTTTCAAGTGGATGAAGCAGGGATTCTTAAACTGTTTCATATACAGATAATCTCTTGTGAGTTTTGAGCAGAGTACACAAACTCAGAACACATCAAAAGGTTGTAGCTACTGCAGTGTGGCCACATACTCTGCTTTTTCAGGCCCACAAAGGCCTTTATTTCAAAGAGCTTCACCTGCCTCTAATGGGAAATCCATAGCATGTTTGAAAACACCCCACCCCAGCTAAAGAGTCTTTTTCCTTCCAACATACAACCACTGTGATGAAGGATAATGCTTACTAAAAGAGTTTCAAAATCATTAAAGGATCTAAATACAAAGGAATCTTTTATTTCCACTACCCCTACAGAAGGTCACAGGCATTTAAATCCCTTTTTAGGAAGTGTTAGTAGTTTTCTAATAATGAATATGAAATTATTACATTTCCATTAAAAAACACATAAAATTATTTTCAAATCAACTTCTAAAAAGTCAAGGTTAGAACACAGAAATCTAATTTCTAAACTTTGGGCACAGAACTGCTAAGAGCACACTGCCAAGCTATTTGAGGATTTGTTCAATTGTCAGGTTTTATAAGCTGAAAACATCACAGAAAATATTTTTAAAAGACTATTCCAAAGGCTAGATAAATGGATCAGCAGTTAAGAGCACTATCTGTTCTTCCAGAGGACCTGAGTTTGAGTTCCAGTGCCCACATGGTGTTTCACAACTGTGCGTTAACTCCAGTTCCTGGGGACCCAACACCAGGTATGCATATGGTACATAGACATATATTCAGGCAAAACACACAAAAAAATTCAAAAACACCAAAAACAACTATTCCAGAGCCAGGCATGGTGGTGTACGTCTTTAATGCAAGCAGTCTAAGAAAGAGTAGATCTCTGGGAGTTGGAGGTCAGCCTGTTCTCTATAGAGTTCCAGGCCCTGTCTCAAAAAAAAAAAAAAAAAAGAAAAAAAAACTGAGGCTGAGGACATACCTCAGCTGGTAAAGTATTTGTCCTGCAATTCTGAGACCTGAGATAAAACCCCAGAACTCCTGTAGAAAATCTAAACATGGAGGCATATGCTTGCAATACCAGTGCTGAGGGAATGGATGGCCACAGGTAGATCCCCACAACTCATTGGATAGCAGCCTAGCCTACTCAGTACTTTCCAGGCCAGTGAGATACTCTATGTCAAAAACCCATGTAGAGGGGAACTGAGAAATTATACCCAAGGTTGACCCCTGGCCTCCAGTGTGCACACTCGTATTCATTCTCTCTCTGTCTGTCTCTCTGTCTCTCTGTCTCTCTGTCTCTCTCTGTCTCTCTCTCTCACACACACACACACACACACACACACACACACACACACACACACCCCACATACCATTCCTTGTATATTATAAACTTGCAACTGAAATTACCAGTAAGAATGACTATCACGCCAGGCAAATCCCAGTACTCAGGAGGCAGAGCCAGGTGGATCTCTGTGAGTTCGAGGCCAGTCTGGTCTACAGAGCAAGATCCAGGCACCAAAACTACACAGAGAAACTCTGTCTCGAAAAACCAAAATAAAATAAAATAAAATAAAATAAAGTAAGAGTCATATAATATAAATCCATACTTTAAGGACTCACCTTTTTTACTCACTGTGCCATTTTCAACAAAAGCTTGTAGGTGAATATGCCAATAGCGCTGAACCACAGAGTCCGTGTTAAAAATTAATAAACTATTGCACCTGTAGATGTTATTCAATGGAAATTTGACTGTCTGAAGACTGTTGTTAACAGGAACACTTCCTATAAAACAAGATTAACAATGGTATTGCCAGGAAGACATGAGAAACTGTTAATATGTTTATATTAACATATAAATGCATGTTTTCTTTTCCTCTATGTCAAGTGATAAAATGTGGAGCATGTTGGCAGGAATGACAAGTTCACTGGGACTGAAACTGTAGGGAGTAATAAGGGTTAAGAAAGAAAGCAGTGCTGGGCGGTGGTGGCGCACACCTTTAATCCCAGCACTCGGGAGGCAGAGCCAGGCGGATCTCTGTGAGTTCGAGGCCAGCCTGGGCTACCAACTGAGTTCCAGGAAAGGCGCAAAGCTACGCAGAGAAATTCTGTCTCGAAAAACCAAAAAAAAAAGAAAAAGAAAAAAAAAGAAAGAAAGCAGTAAGACTGGAGGGATGGCTCAGTGGTTAAGAGCACCAACAGTAACAGCTCTTCCAGAGGTTCAGAGTTCAGTTCCTGGCACCCACATGAGATCTGACACCCTCTTCTCACCTCTGTGGGCAGCAGACACACACACACACACACATTCACTCACTCACACACACGTGGTGCACAGACATACGTGCAGGCCAAAGACTCATACACAAAAGAAAGTCAAAATCATAAAGAAACATTCTTTAAAAAGAGAGTATTCCACTAAGTGATCTTGACAGCCCCCACATCAGTTTTTTCCCTTTTTTAATTTAAGATTTTTTTCATACAATATATTTTGATCATATTTTCCCTCTCCTAACTCCTCCCTGATCCTCCCCACCTCCCTACTCACCCAACTTCAGGTTCCTCTCCCTACTTCCTCTCTCAAAACAAGCAAGAGTACAGCAAGGAAAATTGAAACAAACAAAAACCAGTAAGACCAAAAGTGTCCAAACAAAAAGTCCACAAAGAAACACACACACACACACACACACACACACACACACACAGAGAGAGAGAGAGAGAGAGACAGACAGACAGACAGACAGACAGACAGACAGACATACACCATTTTTTTGCTGGCTAACTATTCCACTGAAGAAAAATGGTTTTTGTTGTACCAGCAGGTATCAATTTCAAATAGTTTCTTGGTTAGGAGTGTGGCTTAAAAGAGGAAATAAGATCTAATTTAATTTAAGGACTGTAACAAATATGCAGCAATAGGCAGAGAAAACCCCTACCTTTTAATTAACAGGGGAAACAGAAGGCCAATGAATAGGCTGCTTAGGTGAAAAGTGAGAGTGGAAGGGAGGGGCTGCCAACACTAAGAGAGTTGATGGGCAGGAGGAAAAAGCACAGGTCAAATTAAAAATGCCTCTCTAGGTAGACTAGATAGAACTTAGTGACTGTAAAAAAGGAAGAGTGCTGAGAACGCAGCTCAGTGGGTAGAGTGCTGGCCTACAGGTACACCAGAGGCCCCGGGTTCAATACCCAGCACCCCACACAGGCCAGTACTGAAATCCTGCCGCTCCAGAGCTGGAAGCTGGAAGACTAGGACTTCAAGTTCATGCTTGGCTTCAGCTGGCTACATTAGAAATGACAGATCCTTCTTCTTTCTTGGCCTTCTAAAGACGGCTCAGAGAATAAAGCAACTTGGTGCACAAGGCCTGGTGACCTGAGTTTAATTCTCAGGATCTACATGAAAATGAAAGAAAAGAACTGACTCCACAAAGTTGTTCTCTGACTTCCACATACACACACTACAGCACACACATTCACACACACACACACACACACACACACACACACACCAGTGATGATAATTATTTTTCAAAGAAAAGATAGAGTTGGATTGAACATAGATTTTTGTAATAAATCTCTACTTTTGTGCTACCATACACAAGTATGTTACATCAATGGTAATTTATTTATGAATTTCTTCCTAGATGGAATTTAAAGATGATTCCAGCCAGGCAGTGGTGGTGCACACCTTTAATCCCAGCACTATGGAGGCAGAGGCAGGTGGATCTCTGTGAGTTCGAAGCCAGCTTAGTCTACAGAGTGAGTTCCAGGACAGCCAGTGTTGTTATACAGAGAAATCCTGCCTCAAAAATCCAAAAATGAATGAATGAATGAATGAATGAATGAATGAATAAGAAAGAAAAATAAAGATGATTCCATTTCAAGAAATCTTTAGGTAAAAAAAATTTATACCACTGCAAACAGAGTTTTTATTGGAATGCCTATAGTGAAACTGCAAAATACTGGTCTAAATGGCTTAGTCTCTTAGAGAAGCAGAAAAGAAGGTATTAATGATCATTAATGGAGGCCTGTGCCTCTCCATCATGGAATAAGGTAGCCACTTAATGCTACCTTGGCACCCCCTAATGGACAGATGAGGTGCGTGTTTTTTAAATTTGAATTTGTTTTGCTAAAATTGTCTCCTTGTTATCAAAAAGGAACAGATGTGAACTAGCACATAAAGACAAACCTCAAAAAACAATGAAGGGGAAACCTGGCGTGGTGGTGCACACCTTCCAGAAACCAGAGGCAGATGGATCTCTCTGCATGTTTGAGGCAAGCCTATTCTACATAGTTGAATTCCAGGCCAACCAGAACTACTTGGTGAGACCATATTTCAAAAACAAATCAAACAAACAAACAAAAAATGATGGGAAAAAAATAAGTTCTACACATATTAGGGTTATAGTATGAAACTATATAAAAATTACAACTATTATTTATGAACATAGATAATACATACAGGAATACTACACCCTAAATTTATAAGGCTGGTTGCTTCTAGCAGGCTGGGAGGAAAATGGAGGCAAGGAGTACCTTAAATGTATCTGTAAAGTTTTAGTTCTTTAAAATAAGCAGTCATTTTAAAATTACATTTATTAGGCAAGACATACTTCTTTAATCCCAGTATCCAGGAGGCAGAGGCAGAGGCAGATAGATCTCTGTGAACTGGAGATCAACCTGGTGTACACAGGGAGTTCCAGGACAGCCAGGACTATATATACAGTGAGATTGTATCTAAAACAACAACAAAAAAAATAGTTCTGGGGAATGGGTCTCTGAAGGTCTGCTATATTATTCTCTTGAGCTTTTTTGAATTTTAATCATGAAAACATTTTTAAATAGCAGCTTCAAGTTACTTCAATTATTAAATGCCTAAATATTAGTATTTCAAAATACTAAATTATTTCAAAGGCAATTCTCTAAAGTGCACGTTAGGAAAGTATTTTAAATTCCAAATAGTTTTGATAAATACTTTATTTATTATACAGAAGACAGTCATAGAAAAATTCATCAACCACTAGTTTAAAATAAAGATAAAGAAGGGGGTTAGCATGTCAGTGATTTTATCTAATGTGTCAGACTAAAGCCATCTTCCTTTAATAGCTGCCCACGTGGTTGGGGCATGCATTACATCATCTCCTGATTATAATAACAGCCTCTGAAGCTGGCTTCTCTGCTTAGTCTCCTCACTTCCAAATTAATCCAGCAGTATAATTCTCTATAAACTAGCCCTTCTGCTTTGCTTCTATCGTTTTCTCTGACTTAGAAAAACCTACCACAGTTTCCCTAGTGCCTACCCCCATCATGCTAAAGGCCCTTTCTTGGCTTCCCAGGCCCCTATAATGAGGCCCACTGCACTGAGCTAACTATCTTTGCCTCCTGTTACACATACAGACAGGCTGGATTTTAATCAGGCAATTCTGCAAGAGCTGCTGTGCATCCTCTGCTGCCCCCTGGTGGAAACATCCTGTTCAAATTCTTCCACTTACATTCCACCATTAGCAGCTGCAACTCAGGACCCATTTCTCCACCCAGCTCTTTTACTCCTCCATCATAAACTGACCTCTCTCTGTTTCCAATCTCTTTTCTCTGTTCCTCATCAGGACCACTGGTGAGAACACTCAGAAAGCAGACACTCAGCCCAGGGATACATAGATGCAACTGCAGAATGCATACTACGTTCTAAATTTGCCGTGTGCTTTTTTGTTGAGAACGAGAGTCTAGAACTTTCCTCAAATGCTCAGAAAAGATTTATGAACTCTCTACCCACTCAAACAGAAACTACAAACAAGAACAAAAAAAATCAGACTGAGCTCAATGTTCTCCATATCACTTGGGAACACAATAAAGCTTTGTCTCCCTCAATGATTTCTAAACCCCTTGAAAGTAAAGGACAAATCTTATCCTAGTTATTAAAGATAATGCAACCATGCCCCAGCCACAGAGATAAATATCTAAAATAGCCAATAAGCTCTTGCCTCAGTTATGCTCTCAAATTAAGGGATTTAGAAGAATTAAATCTTTGATTTGCACAAGAAAACCCACAGAATCTTGTGGAGCTCAGAGAGACTGAACCAACAACCAGGGAGTCTGCACGGGACTAACATAGGCCCTCTACATATACGTGACAGTTGTGCAGCTTGGTCTTCTTGTGGGACTCCTAACAGTGGGAGCAGTAGCTGTCTCTAATGCTGTTGCCTGCTTTGGGGACCCTTTCCTCCTACTGAATTACCTCATCCAGTCTTAATAGGAGAGGAGGTGCCTAGTCTCACTGCAACTTGATATTCCACAGCTGGCTGATATCCACAAGAGGCCCCCTTTTCTGAAGAGAAACAGAGAAGGAGGATTGGAGGGGGAGAGTGGGAGGAGAGGAGGGAAGAAAAACTGTGGTTGGGATGTAAAAAGATAATTTTAAAAAACTTGGGTTTGATTTTCAAGTCTCAGTTGTGCTAGCTCTCAAGTTTAATGTGAAGTTCATTCACTTCTGAGTCTTTTTTGGAGGGAGGGAACAGGGTTAGAGACAGGGTTTCTCTGTATAATCCTGGCTTTCCTGGAACTGACTCTGTAGACCAGGCTGGTTTTGAACTCGGAGATTCACCTACCTGCCTCTGCCTCCCAAGTGCTGGGATTAAAGGCGTGTGCTGGTACCACTTGGCTCACTTCTGAGTCTTTAAAATATGAGTTTTCCATCCACAAGTCCAGAAGTATTATTAATCCCCAAATCTAGGCACCTGATGCTGATCTGTCAGTGTTTCTGCAGTCACAGTAGCATACTATGGGTGAGAAGAGCTAACTCCTCCAGACACCATACTAATCTAATGTCATTGGAGGGGGTTGAAAGGACAGAATTTTGTGCCTAATGAAATCAGCATCATAAACTGAACATAGTGGTGTGCAAACACCCATAATCTCAATACTCAAGAGTACTGAGATAAGAGGAGTGTGCATTTCAGGTCAGCCTAGCTTGCTTCAGAGACAAAAAACTTAAAATCTCCACTATCCATACTTTCAAAATATTTTAATGCATATTTGTTTTAACAATGACGAGACTGGCCTAATTATCTAAGTTGTTCTTGACCTGAAGTTGTCTCAAAATAGCAAATGTTGAGCTTAGTTCTTTTAACTTTAATCACTATTTACTTTTCAAGTCAAAGTTTATCCTAATACTAAAAAGATCTGTAGGTAAGAGATTTCTTCTAATCTCAAATTACTGAACTTACATACTTTCACTTAGTAAAGAATTTTTTCATTCACCCAACATTTGCTGAGTGTCCGCTAATAAATAAGTATATGGCCTCTATAGCTCAGTAAATTTTGCTTCAAACACTAGCTTTCCACGCACTAAATTTGGAGCCTTTGGGAAAGTCACCAAGCCTCATTCCCTTTACTTACTTCCCAGGGTTGCGATAAATGGTACGCTCAATAAAACACTGCATGTGACAATCAGGGTAATCAATGGTATAGAGTAAAACATCCAGCAATGACAGTCAATATCACTTTGTGCCCCATACTGTTCTATTCATGGTCAGGACTGAGATGAGTAACAAGATTGATTTTTCATTCTTAAGAAGATAGATGATTATTTTGTTTACACTTTTTGTTACTAACAAAAGGAAGAGAATGTAACACAAATCCAATTCTTAAGGTTACCTTTATCTGCAGCACCAGGAAATGTTGTGCTATCACTAGTGTTGTAGGAAAGCAAGATGCTGTCAATAAAATAATAAGAAGCTTCCTTGGTAAAATTCACTTCCCAAGAGATTGCAGATCCAAATTGTACCACTATTTTGGTGCCGTTCCGGTCATTCCCACAGCTGCTTCCGTTGTATGTCACATTGGAAGGTTCTGAAATGGTTACAGTTTTCTAAAAGATAAAAAAGTTTAGGAGTGGGTGAGAAAACAGACAGCGGTGAGTCCCATCCCTTTGCCTAGTGTGCTATGAAAAGCAATCTCAGATTCTTACACACCAGGTGTCTGGACAAGTTCATGTATATCTAAAGAAAATAGGAAAAGTTACCTGAACTCTTCTTATCTAGCCTAGCTCTTTGCTCATTTCTACAGATCTAGAGATGGAATTCAGGCTCTCATGCACAATGGGCAAGTGCTCAACCACTGAGCAGTTTTCCAGCTTATAGACAGGCTTTTGTTTTGTTTTGTTTTTGTTTTTGAGACAGGGTTTCTCTGTGTAGTCTCACTCTGTAGACCAGGCTGGCCTCAAATCACAGAGATCTGCCTGGCTCTGCCTCCCAATACTGGGATTAAAGGCGTGCGCCACCACTGCCCAGTTTTTTTTTTTAAAGTGATACTATAGATAGGGCCTTAACAAAATGAAAATAAGGCAAAAAGACCAAGAAGAGAAAAACAAAAAGGTAGACAGAAATAGCAGACTAGTTTTTAAAGGTTGGGAGCTCGATAGATGGCTCAGTGGTTAAGAGCACTGGCTGCGCATCCAGAGGGCCCAGGCTAGATTCCCAGAACCCACATTGTGGGCTCACAACTGTCTGTAACTCCAGTTCCAGGGGAAGCAATGCCCTTTTCCCAGGCGCCAGGCACAAGTGGTGCACAAACACACAGAGAAAAAAAATTAAGCCCACAACCCATACCATACACATAATTTTTTTAAATATCAAAAATTTTTAAAGATGAAAAAAGAAATTGAAGATTTAATGTTAGTATATTATTTCAGAAGTGATGAAAACTGAAATACCATGAAGTCTTTCCTCATTTGCATATAACCATCTCCAAGGAAAACTGCCCCCCCCAAAAAAAAATGAATTTTAAGTATCCACTCCAATCTTAAACAGAATACTTTTTAAAGTATACTAGTTAAAAAAACATAGGATTTGCAAGTTAGGTCAATTATCATGAAATCTTATTTGTACATATATAGGTAAAGGGTAAAGAAAGTCTAAATGTAAAGCCAGGCGTGGTGGCACATGCCTTTAATCTCAGCACTCAAGAGGCAGAGGCAGGCAGATCTCTGTGAGTTCGAGACCAGCCTGGTCCAGAGTTCCAGGCCAGCTAGGGCTTTTACACAGAGAAACCTTGTCTCAAACAAAACAAAACAAAACAAAACAAAACAAAAGTCTAAGTGTAAATAAACCCCTACTCAAGACAAATATGGGACTGGGAAATAGTAATGACAGAGTGCTTACCTGGCACCTAAAAGACTCTGGGTTTAAACCCCAGCACCACTATCATCAAAACCAAAACCAAACCAAAAAAACCTGTTTACTGTAAGGGACTAGAAAGATTGCTCAATGGTTAACAGCAGTGGCTATTCTTCCAGAGGATTCCCAGCACCCACATGGAAGCTCATTCTCATCTGTAATTCTGGTTCCACAGGATCCAATGCCCTCTATTGACCTCCAATACAATCATGGTGCACATATACATAAAGTAAGTAAATCTCAAAAGACAAATATGTTTACTTACATGAGTTTTGTTTGTAGTTTCATATGATATTGTGAAATTCATCTCCCATTTTGCAAAAAGGCAAGTACCTTTCGAATCTGTCAAATTAAGTTGCAATGCATAGGACTGAACAGCTCCTAGATTAAAAAATAAATTGTACAATATAAGATAAAAATAAATTCTAGCCACTGCTGAAGTTCAACTCTAAAATGAAATCCGTCTGTTCAAGTATATGATGCCATGGTGGTTACTTCTCTTTGCAGTTTTTAACAGAGCACTGGTAAAAAGGGTAGCCTTTTCTCTTCTGAAAATAAATGGTTACTAGATCCTTGCTTGATGCTTAGGATGGCAGAAACCAATGACTTTGATTCCCACATAAACTTGTGCCTTGTTAGTTCAGGTTTAGACCATTGCAGTTGCCTTTTCGCTGTTCTTGTTTCTTGCAGTGCTGGGGATCAAACCAGGGCTTCACACATTGGCAAGTGCTCTACTGAGCTATATCCAATGCTTCTTTGGAGGTAACTAAGGTAGGAGGAAGTTTGGAAGGTGTATTAAACCCCTGCTTCTCTCAAACCCATTCAGTGAAACCTTCTCTGCAATAATGATAGATCAGAAGTCTTATGCTCTTACTCAAAACTCTGTTGTCAACTATATGACTAGGACACATGGAAGTCTTCCCAAATGATTTTTTATTCTGATGTGATCAGGGTTAGCTTTTCCAAACACATGTATCACAAGACCAGAGAAGCAACATTTCAAAGGGCTGTTAGAGCCTAGATCTGTAAGAAAAGTCAATTTTTACAAATGCAGAGTCCATAACTTTATTTATTTCACTTTGAAATTGAACTGAGTAAAAAGGCTGATGAACCTTTCACATGGACCCACAATTACTTCCTAAATTCTCAACCTGCTCCTTCTGTAAATGGAGAAACTTTTCAGGCAGAAATGCTTTGGGACTTTTCATCTACCTTAACTCTCATCTTCTATACTTAAAGGTTACTAAAACATTACCTATTAAACTCAAGTGCCTAAAGCTCCAATATTCTAATGGAGAATGGGGAAATATGCCAGCAAATACACCTGCAACATAAATAACAGGCAACCATCTGAGAATCGTCTTGCCTGTCTCATACATTACCCAAGGGGAAAGTTGTTTCCTGTTAAGATAGTTGCACACCCTTTAATGCTATCTGAGCAATCCAGTGTCATCTACAGGCAGGGACATGTTATTAGACTAAAGAGAAACCTCCTGAGAGGAATACCAAGCTGGCATGCCTCAGCAACAGCTTTCAAGCTGTACACAAAAGCCTACCTTTCATGCTCCAGAGACCTGGCTCTCTTAGCAAGCCCCAACACTATGCTAAAGCTTGTGGTTGCTGACACTAAGTACTGGCAAGGATTCAGAAAGACCTTGCATGAGGAACATAGGTTTTTGCCATGATTCTTTTCTCCATAGACATGGAATGGAGCTGTAAAGCAGATCCAAGTCTACCCTGAGAACTCCAACTTACAATTTCCCTAATCTGGAGGTTTGCTTTGCCTGTACACCGCGCTCTCTCTCGCTCTTGTGCTCGCTCCCCCCCCCCCCCGCCCACCCCAGCTTGGCATAAAGTCCCCAGCTTGTATCCCTGGTATAAAGCCTACTTGGTCATGATAAATGAATGATCTTTTTAATACGTTGTTGCAATCAATTTGCTATGATTTTATTAAGAGCTTTGCATCTATATTCATTACAGGTATCAGTGTACAGCTCTCTTTTGTTGTAGTCCTTAAAAGTTGAATCTAGAATTGTGGTTACAAGAAGCCGGGTGGAGTAGAAAGAAGAAGGAGTGGAGAAATCCAATCAATGGAAACTAAGTTACAGATAGGACAGTTAGGACTGAGAAACCTGATGTGCTTCAATGTACTACACAGTGGGGTGACTAGAGACAACAGCAATGTACTGCATGTTTTAAAAAGAAAGGACTTGCAAAGTTTTCCCCATAAAGAAATGAGCAGCACCAGGGATCAATGCTTACCTTGATTTTTTAAAATTACACAATACTCATATGCATAAAAATATTTCATTTTATTATGTACAAGTTTATGTTTTATGTATTAGTTAAAATCAATTTAAAAATAAGAGTACTCTTCTTCTACTCAAACCATTCAAAACTATTATGAAATAATTGAGAACCAGGCATGGTGGTGCACACTTACAAACCCAGCATTCAGGAAGCTGAGGCATGAGGCTGCAGTGATGGCTAAGTGGTTAAGAGCACCTGTTATTCTTGCAGAGAACGGGGGTTCAAAATTCCCAGTACCTACATGGCAGCTCACAACTGTCTGTAACTCCAGTTCCAGGGATCCCATGACCTCTTCTGGCTTCTATGAGCACGTAATTACATACATGCAAAACACTAATATACATTGTTAATATTCTGATCCGCGCCTTGAAATTCCACCCCTTGGTGCTGTCCTGCATCCTGCTGTAAAAATCTCATTCTAAGAAAAATCTCCTCCCCTTCCTTTCTCTCTTCCACTTTTCCTCCCATGAGGTATGCACCCTTGACCTCTCTCTTTCTGTCTCTCTTTCCTATCTTTCTCTTCATCTCTCTATTATAATAAACTCTCCACATGGATGTGGCGACTCGGGTGTGAATTACTGGCCGCCGCATCTACATGGCATGCATCTGCCTGCCACTGCATCTGCCCAGCCTGTTTCCTTGCACACGTGGGGATACCCACAGGGGTCCCCGCCTCTGCACAATAATTCATAACGTACATAAAAAATAAATATAAAATACTAAAAAAAAAAGGCTGGGCTGGAGAGAGAGCTCAGTGGTTAAGAGCATTAGATGCTGCAGAGGACCTAAGTTTGAGTTCCAGCACCACATGGTGGCTCACAACAACCTGTAACTCCAGCTCCTGATATCCTCTTCCGGCATAGGCTGGCACCAGGAACATAAGTGGTGCACAGCCATGTACGCAGGCAAACCACCTATGCCCATAAGATTAAATTAAATTTTAAAAATTTAAAAAGAGGCTGAGGCAGGTGAATTACATATTCAAAGCTAACCTAAGCTACAAAATCGTCTCAAAACATGGTATCTGGAGGCAAGCAGATCTCTACGAGTTGGAGGCCAACCTGGTCTACAGAGCAAGTTCCAGGACAGTCAGGACTACACAGAGAAACCATGTCTTGAAAAAAATTTTAATTAAGAAAAAAATAGTGTCTCCTATGGTAATTATTTTCTTCTCAAAAGATATTAAAGTAACAGGAAGAAAGTTGTATAACATAGTAATAGGATCAATTTGCCCAAGGTGAGAAAGTAAAGGTTTTAAGAAGAGTTCAGGTTGTAGTTGACATTTATCACTTACAATCAAACTCAAAAGAGCTAATCTACCTTCTGAAGACAGAAACAGAGGAATGTCCTGAGGACCCAGACACACCTGCCCACCCCTCTCCAAGTCCACCAGCATAGCTGTTGCTTTTACTCCAAGGCTTAACAGCTCAAACTCAACAATTTCAAAATCCAGATTAATTCTTTCACTTCCTCCTCCAGATGGGCTCTTTCCTCAACCTGTATTCTATTCCCAGTCTACCACTCCATCCTTCCCCACTACAGATCCCTCTGGGCTGTCCCTGAAAAGCACTGCTAGATACCACTGCCTTCTCCAACACTCCTGTTTAAACGCTTTTGCTGGTTCCCAAACTAAATTTAAATTCCTATTTGACTTTTAAAATAATCTTTAATCTTGTCCCACCTATGGCTTCAATATCACTCAGACCATTTTCCCAGAATACACCCTTTAATCTGGTTGAACTTGTTTCCAATGGGCCCAAAGGCTTCTATATTGTGTCTAGCACTTGAGATCCACTTTCTTCTTGATGGCTTAAATAGTCCTCAAGGACTGCCATTCATTGGGGCTATGAAGGTGAAATAACTGTACCCTTCAACTTGATTCTAATTGCTGGTCCATATCACTGGCTGCTACACAAACTGAAAATGTTGAACACTTGCTGTCCCTAACAAAGAACTCCACCCCAGACTTAAAGTAAAAGAATTGAGAATGGCACCAGCTATAGACAAAGCATCCTATGGTTAAGGAAATGGCTCAGCAGGTTCAAGTGCCCAGGCAAAAAGGTGACACTAGCCAGTGGTAGAAGCTGAAGTTTTGCACTTGCTCATAACAGTGCAACCCAGTATTGAATCAGGTTTTGGTATATACAGCCAGAGGTGTTCCTCTTTCTAAGTAACTTTAATCTACTATGCACCTTTTAAATTTTTGTACATTATTTATTTTCTTGTGGTTTGGGTACTGGGGATTGAAATGGGGAACAAGTGTGCTATCACTCAACTACATACCCAGTCCTTGCTCACTTTTTTTTAAAGCAAAACATCTTACTAAGATGTAACATACACAGCATAACATGCAAGGAAAAGGTGTACACAGTGTTCAGTACAGCTCAGAGCATTTTTTTATTACATGAGCAAATGAGCCCTCCTTCAAGAAGCAAAACATTCCAAGTAGAGTCTGGGTATCCATGGGAACAGACTCCAGAACTCTCAGATACTGAAGTTCACAGATGCCAAATTTTACATAAAATGGTGTATGAAGTATTTACACTTAACCCATCCACATCATCCTATATACTTTAAAACCTCCCTGGATCACTTACATAGTACAGTGTAAATGTGATGTAAACAGTTACGCTATATTGTTTAGGAAACAGTGACCAAAAAGAAGTCTATAATTCAGTATAGATACTATGCTTTTCTCTCCTACTTTGGTTGGTTGAATTTGTGGATTTGCAACCTATGGAAAACAAAGGCGGCTAACTATAACCCCAAAGTCCCTACAGCTTCCCCATTCAGTTACTACTATTCGCCTTCCAAGGTAAAATACCACCCTGACTTGTAACACTATAGATGACTACTGCCTGTTTTGTAGCTTGATATAAACAGAATAATTTACTGTGCTCTCTTCTCTGTCTGGTTTCTTCAGATTCACTGTAATGTGTATAACTGCAATTAATTCATTATTTCTATTATACTGCTTCTATTTATGAAGTGAATCTTTGCTATGTACCTGTGGTACTGTTGACAGACAGCTACAAAGTCTGTCCCATCACAAATGCTGCTGTAAACATTCT